CATCAGTGTTTCACAAACACATCTTGTTTAGTATTATTTTAGTGCAACATTAAGGAATTCAACTTTGATATACTAAAGTGTATAAGTCGTCTAAAACATGTCAGAAAAGTGTTATTCATCAGAGATTGTTGACATAATTAAATTGCCAAACCTTGAAGCAACTGTATTTGACAATAATTTTTGTCCCCCGCTTTCACTGGAAGTGGGGGATATTAATTTGGGTCTGTCTGTCCGTCCGTCCGTCTGTATTTCTGTCTGTAACACTTTCGTTTCCGCGCGATATCTCGAGAACCCTTTGAACTTTCGCAATGAAATTTTGCATAGCAACTCCCTATGGCCTAAAGAAGAACCCTATTTATTTTGAGGTCAAAAAGCCAAAGGTCAAGGTCATAAATTCAGTCTGTTTTAACACTTTCGTTTCCGCGCTATATCTCGCGAATTCTTTGAGCTTTTGCAAGGGAATTTTACGTAACAACTTTCCGTGGCCGAAGGAAGAAACCTATTGATTTTGAGGTCAAAAGGTCAAAAAGGTCGTAAATTCATAAATTCCGTCTGTGTGTAACACTTTCGTTTCCGGGCGATATCTCAAGAAGCTTTTGAGCTTTTGCAATGAAATTTTATACCATAACTTCCCATGGCCTCTCTTGCCCCTCTCAAAGTGTCCCACCCCGTTTTTTATTTATTTATTTATTTATTAGTCCCCTACCGGTGAAACCGGAGGGGACTATAGGTTTCCTCTGAGTCTGTCCGTCCATCTGTCTGTCTGTCTGTCTGTCTGTCTGTCCCTCTGTCTGTCTGTCAGTCTGTCCCACTTGGTTTTCCGCACTTTTTTCCTAAACGCTTGCAGATATTGAGCTGATTTTTGGTATGTGAGTGTATCTTGATGAGTTACAGAACAAATTTGCATTTCGTTCCGCTTCATTGATTTTTGACGAAATTACGGCCTTTTCAATTTTTAGGGGTTTTCCGCAATTTTCTTCTAAACGCTTTCAGATATTGAGCTGATTTTTGGTATGTGACTTTACCTTGATTAGTTATAGATCAAGTTTGCATTTCGTCCTGCTTCATTAATTTTTGACTGAATTATGCATTTTGAATTCTTAACGGGAACCAGATTACACTTGCCGGTAGGGGACTAGTATTGCTAATGCAATACTCTCAGAATGCTTATTAGTCCCCCTACCGGTGAAACCGGAGGGGACTAAAGGTTTCCTCTGAGTCTGTCCGTCTGTCTGTCTGTCCCTCTGTCTGTCTGTCAGTGTGTCCCACTTGGTTTTCCGCACTTTTTTCCTAAACGCTTGCAGATATTGAGCTGATTTTTGGTATGTGAGTGTACCTTGATGAGTTACAGATCAAATTTGCATTTCGTTCCGCGTCATTGATTTTTGACGGAATAACAGCCTTTTCAATTTTTACGGGTTTTCCGCATTTTTCTTCTAAACGCTTGTAGATATCGAACTGATTTTTGGTATGTGACTTTACCTTGATTAGTTATAGATCAATTTTGCATTTCGTCCTGCTTCATTAATTTTTGACTGAATTATGCATTTTGAATTCTTAACGGGAACCAGATTACACTTGCCGGTAGGGGACTAGTATTGCTAATGCAATACTCTCAGAATGCTTATTAGTCCCCCTACCGGTGAAACCGGAGGGGACTAAAGGTTTCCTCTGAGTCTGTCCGTCTGTCTGTCTGTCCCTCTGTCTGTCTGTCAGTGTGTCCCACTTGGTTTTCCGCACTTTTTTCCTAAACGCATGCAGATATTGAGCTGATTTTTGGTATGTGAGTGTACCTTGATGAGTTACAGATCAAATTTGCATTTCGTTCCGCGTCATTGATTTTTGACGGAATAACAGCCTTTTCAATTTTTACGGGTTTTCCGCATTTTTCTTCTAAACGCTTGTAGATATCGAACTGATTTTTGGTATGTGACTTTACCTTGATTAGTTATAGATCAAGTTGCATTTCGTCCCGCTTCATTAATTTTTTACGGAATTATGGCATTTTCAATTCTTAACGGGAACCAGATTACACTTGCCGGTAGGGGACTAGTATTGCTAATGCAATACTCTCAGAATGCTTGTTGTATTAAAAGTCGCTATGCACTATTTTTAGCACAGGGGACAGGGGCATGTCGCGAGTTATTACGTATAATACAGGTTGTCGGCGGACTTTATGTTCTAATTACATCTATTAGAACTGTTTAGTAAAGGCTAAATTAAACAACATTTATTGTATAAAATTTTGACATTGTCAAACGTGAATATATACATTTTATGTGACTTAATATTTGCATTTGATTTATTCTATAATCAAGTGCCTCCGTGGTCTAGTGGTATGTTGCTCCCTTAGCAAGCGAGAGGCCCGGGTTCAATCCCCGGACGATTCTCTTTTTTTTTTATTTAAAGTTTTTATTTATTTACTAAATGATACTATTCAACATGTGAAATGAAAAAGTTATGATGTCTGGCGTGTACAAACTCATAAAATCATTATTACAGTGTGATAAATATTCTGTATATAGTGTATTAAAAGAATCTTCTATGCACATATTAAAGAATAAGCAATTAAATCTTTATATTCATATTGGCTTTTTTATTTGCTTCAATATACATGTATACATTTAATAACTCTACAAATACAGGGGGGGGGGCAGTGTGACCCCCCCCCCCCCTCGAACTGCGCATGCTCTTCTTTTTTCCCTGAGCGGGGAACACAAATTCTCTGAGTTAGCTTGTATATTATTATATCGCGTTCTAAAGCAATAACACGAGGCGATTATATGTTTCCGTACATAAACTATACTGAGTGCCTAGTCATGATGATTTTTATCTGACAGGTCGCCATAAAGATCTGACGAATCGACAAACAAAAGATCAGACAAATGCACTGCTGTGGTAGAAATATGCCGACTTCCTCAAAAAGAGATTCTGTAAGCTGATAATAAAAATGGTTGAAATCATTCTTCAGTTGATAGCCAGGGTATGGGGCTTCATATGACAATATACATGTAATTGCATATATCAGAAAGTGTTGTGACTGAAGAGTCTTTTTATCTTTTTTAGTAATATCTGAGGTAAATTTTCACGACATGAGAGCAACAATATGTGAGTAGATCATTTCATTAATTTTATTATCCAGTTTTTTAACATCAAATTTGAATCCTTTTTTTCATTTTTAAAGTCCAAACTTTTTTTCCTTCTAGTATCCCTTTTCTTCGTCTCCTTATTCGGTAAGTTTTCTTCGAATTTAATTTTGCTATTCAATCTTTTGTAATTTTGACAAGAAACGCAAAACACCCGACAAAATTTTATTACTACAGGATTACTTCACGCTAAAACATGTTTGTATTGCATTGGAGCACCAAATATCTCAGAATGTTCGAAACGTGCTGTTTGTGGCGATAACGAGGTAAGATTCTTAAAAAATTAAATTATTTCCTGATTAATATATGGGCTCACGGCGGGTCTGGCCGGTCAAAAGGGGTTGCTTACTCATCCTAGGCACCTGATCCCACCTCTGGAATTTCCAGGGTCTGTGGTTTATGCCCTCTTCACAGAATTGTATTGTTTACAAATTTTTTGAGATCGATCACTGTTCGTTATCTTCACCTTTTTCATTTCATAAGGCCATCATTAAAAATATCTTTGTTTCCCCTAAGTTGGGTAGGTAGTAAGGTCAATATTTTTTTTTATGACAGCAACTTTGAAAATACATTCTTATATTTTTTGAAATAATACCTTTATAAATAAGAAATTAAAAGTACAAAACAAAGCGATTTGTAAACAGAATATCATACAAAGCCATTTAAAAGCAAAATTTAAGGTAAATTAACTAAAAACTATAAATTATAAAATTGAACTTATGAAATATCTCACGCCAGTGTAAATTTATTTAAATCAAATACTTAAAAAGACGAGATTCTCAGACACGCAAACCTACTATCAGCTACAGTACTTACACATGCAATGTACTTTTTCAAGGGTCTCGAGTTATGCAGTGGTTCTAGTGCATTTCGTTTTGGAGTCCTGAAATAATTAGCTAATTCTAAGTCACGGATTCAAATCCCAGTGCGGGACGTTGAGACCGGTCCTTCGAATGAGACCGTAAAAACTTACGTCGCACTAGATGCCGGTACGAAAAAGATCCCTCACTGCTCAATGGCCAAAATTGCCGAGTACACGTCTAAATTTGGAGCGCTTCACTGGGCAAATGTTCAAATGGTGTCGTCCTAACATTTCTCAAAGGGTCCAATCTTCAAGAGCCCAATTAAAGAAAAATACACCGGACGTCTCAGGAAGCTGTATCATGATTTCAAAACTTTTTGGAAAGAGTATGTAAACAATATCTAACTTAACCAAACCAGATCTAAAAATGATAAAAATGCCATACACAATGTCATAGTCACGAAGTTTAACCCATGAATAAAAGGCATGATGAAAGGACGTCTGAATTATATTCATCAAGGTGAAATATGTAGACTTATTTACAACAACTCCTATGGTCCCATATAGTAATTGTATTTTTTAAAAGTTGATAAAAAAAAAGAATAATCTTATTAAAAAAACTTTTTTAAAAACGATTTAATTGGGCCGGTCGCGTTAGGGGAATGATAGGTATTTTTTATTTTGGCCTAAGGCTTTATATTTGTTCTGTCTCTTAACTTTTTAAGTTAGATTTTTTCTAAATCCGTTCCAGTTAGAGATGAGCTATATAATCACTGAAAACTATATGTTTCTTATTTAGGAGTGTTATTTGGATAAATACCTGGGTGTCGATATGATTGTAAGATATGATGCAGGGTGTCGTTCGAAACAGGTTCGTATATAAATTGCTTAGTAAATGTAAATGAGATACATGTATGTTTCTTTATAGACACTTGTGAAATTCCATTTAAGACAAATGGAAGCAAATTGTAATAATATTCTGGAGTTCAATTTTGATGTGTTCAGTAGATCAGATCTTAACCTCTCTTCAGTATGAAACTTTATCATTGTAGATATGTGGTGCTAGTCATGCCAGGAGAAAACGACAACTGGTTATCTGTACGGATTGTTGCTCCGATGCCCCGGACATTTATGGTCCATGTAATTCAAAACTGTGTGGTCTTAGTAAGTAGATAATGAAAAAGGTGAAGATAAGGAACAGAAATCGATCTAAAAACAAATCTACAAACGCTATAAATCTGTGAACAGGACATAAAACATTGATCACCGGAAATTCCAGAGATAGGATCAGGTGACTAGGAGGAGTAAGGATCCCCTGTTGACCGGTTACAAATAGAAAAGAATTATTAATTAATTAAGCGCATGCAGTTTTATAAGCATATCTATGATCGAGGGGACGTATTATGGTATGGTTATCATGTCCGTCCGTCTGTTCGTCTGTTTGTCAGCTGAAAAATTCTTGGATAGAAAGTTAAAAGTTGGGTCACTGTAACCATTAATTAAAAAGCTATGGCAAAACCCTGTCCGACTAATAAATGGAATTTTTTTTTCAATTGGCTTAAGATCATCAAACTTGGTCAGACAATGTACCTTAAGTAGAAGGTGTGTCACACTCTTCATAAGGTCAGAGTGACCTTTAATAAAGGTAATATTTAATATGTTTAAAGGGAGATAATCCCTACAAATGTATACGTATTGCAGTGACCCTTCAAAAATGTTACATTTCAAAATAAGCATTTTTCTTGATATATAATTGAACATCTTTTGTTTCTAGCAATGTGTCATTTTTAATATGTATCAATACTTTTCTACCAAAAAAGAAAAAAAAGCTAAGTCATAACTAGTTCATCACACAACAGATAGAGTAATTTCATTTGTCCCATGGGGGTAATTAGCTAAGTTATAGGGGAACATGTCAGAGACATATTGCTTCTTTTAAGTAAGAGTTTAATTAATGAATTTAATGGAAGAAGGCGGTTTTGATCATTTCTGTAGGAGCATCTCTAATCAAGCAGGTATTATCTATATTTTTTGGTTATTGGAAAGAGGAATTAACGATCAGGCATCTTATTTGCAATTCATAGCATTTGTCATATTAAAATAGTTCTTGATAGCTAGTCTTTCGATTTCAAAATTAATTGGACGTCATGGTAGCTCAGTCGGTAGAGTGCTCGCTCCGTGATCGGAAGATTGGGTGTTCGAATCATGGCCACGACTGACCTTAATCGATAAAAAATAGTTAACTACTGTTCCTTCGCCAAGCGCTTGGCATTTTGAAATGAAAGTTGCGAGGCCCCGTGTCACGGTAGGCGTTAGCACGATAAAGAACCCTCCCTGCTCAATGGCTCTGAGTACATATACCGGGTAAAATTCTAAATTTAAAGCCCTTAACCGATATATGGTGACTTCTCTATATGAGTGAAAAATTCTCGAAGGGGACGTAAAACAACATAGTTACAATCAATCAATCAAAATTAATTTCATTTTAATATATGAAAATGTAATTCGATATTTTATAGAATTTTTAAAAAAAAATTTTTGTTTATATCCTACCAACCAAATTGCTGAATGTCATGTCTCACTAAAATGACAGATAGTTGCAAACTTTTCTTCAGTGTTATCAAAAGCATAGTGATGGGTAATTTTTTTTTTCGTTAGGCAGTGTCATTGTTTGTCTTTCATAAACAATACAGTGAATAAAGCTGCAGATTGAGAATTTGTGTCACGAAAAATTGAAACATTCATGATGTACTCTTTTTTTTTGGTCTAATTACATCTAATACCTACAGCATAGGATATGGACATCAAACATTAGATATGTAAAATCTTAGTAATCCTTGTACCAACATTGACACAACTTTTCTCCATGCACACTCATCTGTTTATGATAAATATGAACAATATCTGACGGGCGTATCACGGGCATTGGATCATGTGCAATGGAAGTGCCTTTTTATTCATTTTGGTAAATTAATGTCAACGTTTACCTCCAGTATGTCATTTTAAATTAAATCTTTTTGCGATGAAGGCTATTTTATTAATTAATTTTATAAAATGATGATTTAGTAATTGTACCAAGCCCGTAGGAAGAAATTTTGGCTGGCGGGGAGGGGGACACATCCAAACCTTTTTTGTTGGGGGGTTGCTCCACGATCAAGCAAACATTCCATGAAAAAGTTATTATTGAGGGGGCACAATTAAGCATAAAGTAGCTTTGTTTGCTTTACTATACTTTATATATATTAGCAGTTCCTAGGCCATGTGTATTATTTGCAGACTAAAACCACATTGCATAATACCTGTACGTTAAAATAATCAAGGATGTATTATGTTTTATTTAAGCTCCTACAACTGAGAACTATGAATGTCTTGTTTGTGCCGGAGTACTTAGTGACGTAAATTCTTGTTCTACAACTTCCGTCTGTCCTCCGAGAGAGGTGAGTTTAAAAAGTTTAAGAGAAAGGACGAAAACTCCGATGAAAAGCAGGTTGATTAACCTTTACTTTTAGATTTTCAATACTATAGTAACCGTACTACCTTCATTGATATAATGGGAAGGATGCATCTTTAACATTACTCTTTCGTTATAAATGCCAATTGTGAATTTCAAGTATGTGAATTTTTAGAAAAGCAAAGGATAACAAGACTTGAAAAAATTGTAATAATAAGTAAAAGAAAAATTGTTCACGAATTTGTCAATGCATGATCCTCGCTGAATAAAAAAAATCCGGGAGATAAAATATCATGCAATTCAATTTCGTTTTCTATTAAGTGTGCAATCAAAATCCCTCCTTTACAATCTTTTCAGTAGTTCGTTTATTTAAATGATTATACCAATAAAAGATATTTCACAATAGTTTGATAATTATTTTTTTTCAGGCTTGTTTTTCTGGAATCCGTATAGTGGGCACGGCTATTCGTTATGTTGTTGGCTGTTATGACGAACGTGTAAGTTGGTATCTTTAAGTACTTGCTATAATAAAAAAAAAACATTGCCTATTATTAGCTCGCCCAAGTGAGCTTTTCTGATCAAGAAGTGTCAGTCCGGCTTCCATATCGGCTATCTGTATGTCATGTGTCGTTTATCTATCGTCATCGTTTGTAAACTTTTCCTATTTTGAACTTCTTTAGACCCACTAGGCCAAATTCAGTCATACTTGTCATAACACCTATTTGGGTGATGGAAATTAAAGCTGGTCATAACCTGTTCTACAATGTAATAATAGAAATAGTGAGAATTGGTTAGAATCATTTACAAATTTTCTTCTCAGAAACCTTTATATGAAAAACAAATATATTTATATATTTGCATTAGTTAGAATAATTTAACTGTGTCTCGGGACAAGTCCTCACCACAGTTAGAATACGTCCCATATACTTGCAATGTAGCAAATCGGAGTGGATCCACTCCGAAATGATTTTGAAGAATACAAAAGGAGTTGCACTGAAAATAACTACCAAATTAATCATAACAAACCTTTTTGAGATTTATATGCCTTTTAACCTAAAAAATAATCCATATAAATACGAAAATTCAACTCATTTTCTCAACGTTTTTTCCTCGCTTCAAATTTAATGCCATGTTGAACATTCGGAACTCTCTGGATTGTTCATAGGAAATGCACAGAGTTCGAGTTGTCGCCCGTGTTTATTTTGCAACATTGCCAATACACGGAACGAATTCTATCGTTAAACCGGGTCCGTAGGACAATATCATTTTAACGATAGAACGTTCTATCTATATTTGCATATGCTCTGTTATTCCATTCCATAAACCTATAGCTAGCAATTGCATTTATGACTTCTTCATAAACAAAATTGCTCTCAGTTTAAGCCCAGATTATGGCAGTCTCTCGCATAGAGGGTTTGAACTACAAAATAAACATGCTGGTCAGGAGTATATATAGGAGAATAATTAAAAAGATTAAGTTGAAGGTAGACATTTAAAATCTCCAATAAATGAAATAAAGAGTTTTGTTGATAACATTTATTATCAAACTTCTTAAAATTATTTTCTTGACCTAACTTTTCTTAAATTTGCACTTAGCTCAGTTTCAAAGAACTATCCAAGATATTTTTATGTAAGCATATATTTAATTTGGTACGAAAAAAATATCTCCAAATGAAAGACATTGCTAAAAATTAATTATTTTAATGTGTAATTTTACACATTAAAGAATGATAAAACTTCATGAAGGTATGTGACTTACTGAAATGACGTCACAGTAAGCGGCATACCTATACAATGTTTTCTTAAAATTTGTATTTCAAAATTTATTTGAACTCTATAATATGAACAAAAAAAGATAAAAATTACACAAAAGTATATACATATATATATATATATATATATATATATATATATATATATATATATATATATATATATATATATATATATATATATATATATATATATATATATATATACTGTATAATGTATTCAGTACTATGTTACCGTTGTATACATTTTTGTAATGTAAAGCTTCTGAAGATTTTTAATGAAAGCGCTAAAGCTTTATGGAGGATTCTTGTGTTTTCTTTTTATATTTGTTTAATATTGTAATCCGATTACTGAGACTTTATTTCAATTTTGGATATATATATATATTTACTATGATTACTTGTCTAACAGGAAAACGACATACTGTTTATGAAATATGACGAGTGAAAATAAAATTTAGCCTAATAAGTAGATGCTAAAGACGTCATGTAAGCAGTTGGTAAAATGGGTGCTTAGAAAGTGCTCAGATATAGAATGTAGTGTAATGATCAGGTAAATCTGTGTTTTTATATTCCTATGAAGCAGAATGTATTCAGAAACTTCTGTGTGAGGGGAAGATAAAAACTTGCTTTGGCCTTCAACTCGACATTCAGGTTATATCTATATCGAATATCAATTTACAATAGTTCCTTCCATTCATTTGTCGACTCGGTATATCCCAGTAAACTCGAAATAAAAGACAACACAGAGTATGCCATATCTGTTTCATAATTGAATGTTTACTGACTATTGACGATAAAGGCAAATTAATAACTTAACTGTATGACAAACGAGATGACCAGCTTTCCCATCGTCAAATTTCCTTATTCATGTAGTAATATTCCACTATCACCTGCATATGGTGTTTATGTCTTCAAGCTTATTCTATACTCAAGATCATGCTCTGAGTACGATCAATTTTGAAACCAAGGCAGCCTACTGAAAATTAAATTGATTTTCAGGTTTACAACAACGCGGCTTAAAGTCAACATTTTGTAAATTATATGGTCATTAAATTGACCTTGTTAGCAAATATTGCTTATTATTATACTTTCATGTTACATACTAAAATCTGATTGGCTAAGACGAATTTAACAATCCGTAATGTTACCCTCAGCGTTAGCAACACACTTAACAACGGGTAACATTACGAAAATGTCACATGCGTTCAAATAATGCGCGTACGGTTCACCATAGAATTCTCAAAACGTCAGTTGTGCGTTTGAAAGAAGCCGAATAAACGACGTCAATAAAAGCTTGCGTCCGATGTAGCTTACTTGAAAACAGCAAACGACAGACGAAACATCCTTGCAAGTGCGAACTTTAGATGATAATGGACTTTTTGAGTAGCAAACAAACAAGAAAGAGGTTGGTAAATCTTTTCCGAAGCTTTCTTATTGAGAAAAATAGTAGCGGGGAGTTTGAAAGCTTTTTAAGCGTGAACTAAACGACGATTTCCGAATTTTTTTTATGACATCCGAAATCAATAAGACATTCAGTATAATGAAATAAATAGTGCACGTTTTTGAGGGTAACAGTTGAAATTGACACCCCTCGGAAAACCATTGTCAACCTCCGCTGACGCGTCGGTTGACAATGGTTTTCCTTGGGGTGTCAATTTCAACTGTTACCCTCAAAAACGTGCACTATTTATATATTATTGGATCGTATTTTGACTGTTATATTTCATACCAATTGTTAGGCTTTATTTGTTTTAATACTAAATTTAACTATTTTTCCGTCTATCTGATCAATTAATGAAATATATGGAGATAACGAACAGTATTCAAGCTCAAAAGTCCATTATACAATACAAAATAGGAGCAGAGCAAACACGAACCTCCAAACATCAGGGGTGGGATCAGGTGCCATGGAGGAGTGAGCATCCCCTGCCGACCGGTCACACCCGCCGTGTGCTCCTTGTCATGATCGGGAAATAACGGAAAAATCCGTCAACAATTCAGTGTGTAAATAATGGCCTAACAATTAGTATGAAAAACGTCAGTCAGCATTTAACTCAATTATAAATTGTATTTGCTGACAAGGTCATTGTATCGACCATAGAACTTACGAAATGATGACTTTAAACGAGACAGCTGATATTCTTGTTTCATCAACTTATTTGTCAATAATTTACCTCGTTTTAGAAATTGTACATACGTAGAGCATGCTCTTGCGTATCGAATCAACTGAGAGATATATACCCCGTATGCAGGATATGAAGGTATATTGCTGCATAAGTAAGGGAAGTTGACGATTGAAAAGTTAAAGTCATCACGTTTATCATAAAGCTTGGTTGTTAGATTACCATTAACGTCTTTTTCAAGTAAAATATCCAAATATGAAACAGATGTGTCAGACTCTGTGGTATCTTTTATCTCAAGTTCACCAGGATATATCGTATCGACATAAGAATGAATATAGCCATTGTTAATTGACAATACGTCGTTGATATATCTAAACGTCGAGTTGAACGCCACAGCAAGTGTTTTCTTCTTTTAATATGGCTCACAGTAGGTGTGGTCGGTCGCCAGCGGATGCTTATTAATCTTATATACATAATACCGCCTCTGGAATTTCCGTAGGTCAGTGTTTTATGCACTTTGCACAGATTTGTATTTTTTGTAGGTTTATTTTTTTTTTAGATCGATTAATGTTCGTTTTCGTTTTTATTGTATTACTTTTATCATTATTTTTTGCTTTACATTTATTTTTTTGCTCCCCCAAATTTTGAATAGTAAATTAATTCCCTCATTTAAGCACCTTTTGAAGAACACATGGAAGATGTATTTAAAAAAAATCGGAAATGGGAAATGTAATTTTTTCGCGCACGGGAAATTTAGTTGCAGGAAACTACTTCTTAGGTGTTGTTGTGGAATGAAATGAAAGACGTCTTAATCGTATAGTGGTTTATTTGAGACTTGTTGTTATCTATAGAAACGTAACGTAAGGTATTATGACGTCACAACAAAGTTAACGTTACATAAACTCGCGGATAATCCATGACACTCCGGGCACCAAAAATGAATAGTAAAATTTTGAAAAGCTCATATTAAATTAACAGTTCCATTGAAATAAAAAGCATGTTCATAATCATTAAATTAAGAGGTCCATTCACGGATTCTTTCTTTGGCTTTTGTTTTTGATACTCGATCAGAAGATTGTATTTGAAGTTCGTTCTCATTCACTTCGATTGGATATAGTTTCAAAATTGGTCTATTGGTAAGTCCATTTTTGGTCCGTAAAGTGGCAGCTCTGACGAATCCGTCTCTCCCCTGTATGAGTTCCTCCACGACAGCTAGTTTCCACATGATCCGAGGTTTCTCCTCATGGATTTGGACAATGTCACCGACTTTAATATTCTGCGACCTGTTTCCATTTGCTGTGTGGTACTCCCTCAGTGATGTCAAATATTCTCTCTTCCAGCGGCTCTAAAAGTGATTTAAAATAGTATTCTGATTATCCAATCGTTGGTTTAGACGACGACAAGTCAATGAATGACAGTCGTTTGAATTCTCTGGGTCCTCTGTTGGGTATGGTAAGGAAGTCAGTCTTCTTCCGTACAGCAAATGTGATGGTGTTAATGGCTCTGGATCCTCGAGGTTCGATGAAACGTATGTTAACGGACGGTCATTTACGATCGCTTCAACCTCTGTGACTACAGTTTATAAGGTTTCTAAATCGA